CACACACACACACACACACACACACACACACACACACACACACACGCGCGCGCGCGCGCGTGCAAATTCAAAACTGCACACACATCACAAACATGCACGGTCTGTCTGTGGCGCGCGTGCAAATTCAAAACTGCACACACATCACACACATGCACGGTCTGTCTGTGCGTGTGTCTGTCTGCCAGCCAGTCCAAAGTATGACAGTATGGATTATGGACAACATCGTTAGATAATGTAACTAAGGTCTCAAAACAATAAAATAATGCATTATTATTTCTAACCAAGATTGCCACTTTGGGTGCTTTTGCAACAGTGAATTCATCAACGACTTTGTTAATGTCGACGTTGTGCGGTAAATCGCTTTCAATGGAAAGAAGTGCTAACATCCCTAGCCTCTTCTGAGACATGGTTGAACGCTTAACGTCTTTAATGCGTTTCAATTGCGAAAATGAACGTTTGCCAGTGCAGTTTGTTGACAGGTACATCCGCAATGCTATCTCGCTGTCTGGAAAAGCTGAGTGTACACCAGTGGTATGCAAGAGTTTGAAAATGCTCTGAGCGCTTCCTGTTGCATTATCCGGATGTACTTGCTCTACATTTACCCAACATAGGCACTGTCTAAATTCCATTGGAAAGTTAGGAGAGAGGTCATGTCGTGGATAGACATTAACAAGTGCTGAAGTTGCAGCATTGATGTCTTCAGCTGACATTGAATCATACTTTATTAAAACACCAACCCGCTGCACTACAGTTGAATAGGCGTCAATTCGTCTGCATAGGGCACTTTTCAGTTGGTCCATGATAACCAAGAATATATATGTATTCACTTTGAACTTCTCCTGACTCGACATTTCATCCATCACACTTGCGGCATCTCCGTCATCTACTGTTTTCCTGTGTACATGTGCTCTCCGGCAGTCTGGTTTATATATGCTGCTTCCACACAGTGCCGGATTAACCATTAGGCAAATAAGGCAATTGCCTTGGAGCCACTCAAAAAAATAGGCCACAAACAGGGTACAATAAAGGCCACATTTTTTCGGATTTTCTTCCCCGTTTTGATCAGGCCACAGCAAGGCCAGTCTGGAAGGCCACAACTAGAATATCCCTAAGCTAGCCCAAGCCAGAGTCCGACTGGGTTATTAGTCCCAGGCCTAGTTCAGAAAGTGATGTGACATTTTGTTTGGCCTCTCTCTAGGCCACATTTTTTTCTAAAATTAAATTGAATCATTGGCAGTGGGTTTCAAATCAAGCACCTTTAGCCTCTAAATAAAGTCTAAAGTCACCAGATACCTGGCAACCCAGATAATAATTCCAAAGTTGTGGCCCTGCTGGAGTCAAAAGCCTGCGAATGCTACATTCCTAGCCTAATTTCTGCCAAATTCGACAGTTTTCTAAGTGCACATGAGGTGAAAGGTGAACTGTGTTTACAAAACCCCCGAGCTCGTGGAGTGCTGTGTATGCATGTTTGTGTGTCTGCAACAGGAGATTCAACAGTTATTAATGACATCAAACCACTTTTGAGGCAACTTTTTCATTAGATGAAAATTAATTAGAGAAGTTTGAAGGGGAAGCGGGTTCGTCCTCAGCATCCAGAAGAATTTAACGTAGAAAAAAGAGAAGAAAGACAAAGGTAACTCTTCTCGTTTGAATTTGAATTGATCTCAAAATGCCGTGTCTCGCCGTGAGTATGGACAAATCACGACTGTTTTGTTCTTATTGCTTGCTATTTGGTGGTAAAGAAGTGAAAACAACCTTAGCCCCCACCCGAATTTTGATCCACCCACCGCCACTGTTAATACGGGTCAAAAACAACCTGTGAAGAATTGCTTAACCTGTTAGGCAAGTATGTTCTTGACCTCATAAAGGATGAAATTCCTAAGCCAAGGTACTTTTCAGTCTCCGTAGATTCTACTCCAGATGTTACCCTGTTACCCATTCTGATCAGTTAACCATTGTTTTACGCTATGGCAATATGGTAGATCACCGGCCCGAGGAGCGCTTTTTGACATTCATCAACATCTCGAGCCACAGAGGACAGAATCTTGCAGATACGTTGCTCGTGGTCGTGGCCAGACATGCGACAATGCCAGTAACATGTCTGGTAAATACACTGGAATGCAGAACATTTTGAAAAAAACAAACCAATCTTGTGGATTATATTCCGTGCGCAGGCCACTCTCTAAATTTAGTTGGTCAATCAGCTGTAGATGGCTGTGTGCAAGCTGTGTCTTTCTTTCAGTTCCTGCAGCGCTTGTATTCATTTTTTGTTGCATCAACATTTCGTTGAAATATTTTATTACGACACGTTGAGGAAAATCCTGAATGTCTTGTCCCAAAACACCATTCGCAATTGAAACGCATTAAAGACGTTAAGCGTTCAACCATGTCTCAGCAGAGGTTAGGAATGCTAGCACTTCTTTCAATAGTTTCAATTGAAAGCGATTTACTGCACAACGTCGACATTAACAAAGACGTTGATGAATTCGCTGTTGCAAAAGCACGCAACGTGGCAATCTATGTAAGAAATAATTTTAGTGTTGTGAGACCTTAGTTACATTATCTTACTGGTATCTTGTTCATATTCCATACTGTCATGCTTTGGACTAATTGACAGACTGACACACACACAGACAGGCCGTGCTTGTGTGAGATGTGTGTGTGTGTGTGTGTGTGTGTATGTGTATGTGTGTGTGTGTGTGTGTGTGTGTGTGTGTGTGTGTGTGTGTGTGTGTGTATGTGTGTTAAAGGAGAGGGGGGGAGATTTTGCACCATACCGGTATCTAACTTTTTCAGGCCACTCAGTGAAGTGTGCCTTGGGGCCAGCTGGGTCTTAATCCGGCACTGCTTCCACATCGGTTACTTGCCTTGTCATGGTAATAGTCCAAGTTTCCTCGACACTCATCCACATAAGTGTCTAAACTTTTTAACAACCCAATGGCTGGGCTTAGTTTAATCGTTGAACTTTGTAGCAGTTTACTGCAGCACTTGAAACGATGTAAAATGTCATTCCAAAGTTCACACATGAAAGCAACTTCAATGGTGTCCATATAACTTGCAAGTGCGCCAGCTTTGTGCTTCGTGAGACCATTCTGGTCAATATCTTCCACTATCTCTTGCAGAGCACTTTGGAATTGTTTGTAGTCCCTGAAGACTGCTTCAGTCGCATCAGCCCGGGCAGACCACCGGGTATCCGATGGGTGTTTTGGGACAAGGCATGATGCAAAAAAAAAAATGAATACAAGCGCTGCAGGAACTGAAAGAAAGACACAGCTTCCACACAGCAATATACAGCTGACTGACCAACTAAATTTAGAGAGTGGCTTGCGCAAAGAATATAATCCACAAGATTGTTTGGGAGCAACGTATCTGCGAGATTCTGTCATGTGTGGCTCGAGATGTTGATGAATGTAAAAAAGCGCTCATCGGGCTGGTGATCTACCATATTGACATAGCGTAAAACAATGGTTAACTGATCAGAATGCGTAACATCTGGAGTAGAATCTACGGAGACTGAAAAGTACCTTGCCTTTCATCATCAATATTGTATATTATTGTAAAGTCAGGCGTGGTTCGTCCATAGAGCACGGTCGTGCAGTGCCGCCCAAAATGTTTTAATGTTCTATGACATAAAGCACCCACAATAATAAAATAAAAGACGCCAGAAACAAACTCTAGCCAAATATTATATCAAAACAAGGCCCTCGTTGGCGCCGTAACTGTCATTTCTATTCTATACCGCCGTAAAACATCTACTATGCCATGCCTAAGTTCA